TGGGTGTACTTGATCAAATGATAACCCCCCGGTGCATTTGTTTCTTTACCTGTGAACTAGATGGTGGGACTAAATGGTTGAATATGGTCCCTTCCAGTCCTAAGATTCTTTCACCTTATGAACTGGACCCACTGGCCTATGAGATTTATCTGTTGTCATTCTGAATATATTCAGGGTAAAAATATATTTATAAGATTTTGACACAATCCAAAAGGTTGACCACAGATCTTCACTCTGGGAAGGAGGATTCCATAGTGGACCAAACCAGTCTCAAGCACTAACTAGAAGCTTTAAGGTTATATTAAAGAGTTCCAAAGATGTGTGTGTGTGTGTGTGCGTGCGCGCACGCATGAGTACACTCATGTTTAATTTCCTTAACCACATAACTACATACTGAATAAACAGACATGAAATAGTTGTTTTATATTAGTGCAGTTCTTTTCTTTCTATCCTCCCTTGAAAGATGCACTGAAAGAAAAGTGCTTCTGAGGAAGACTCCAAATAAACACATTGTCTAGTAAGCAGAGGAAGGAGTTACAGGTGAAATTTGAGGGGCAATAGATTCCTGTCCCCCTCACTGACCTGCCATAGTATCTATCCTAGAACTAGGATTTTCTATCATTAGAAACACTTCCCTGGTATTAAGGCATTACTCTCCTGCAAGTCTCAGTTAAGCTAAAAAATGGTGTTTTACAAAGAGAACCCAATAAGCCATTAATCTCATTGATCTGAGATGAGTAAATTTATTGGATTGACTTCAGTGAACATCTGTTTGAGGACCCAAGACTCACAAATACCCATTCTGGATCTTGAGAGACATCTACATGGATAAGGCACATAGCTCTTAAGCGCACAGTCTAGAAGGGAAGAATCAGGCATCCCATTGCTTGCAACACCAGTCCTGGACATAAGAAAGTACTGGATGGGCAACTCGGAACAATTCTGAATGGGAGCTCAACAAAGAAGGTGGCATTCGGTTGGGCCTTCAGAACTAAGAAATAATAAGCAGAAATTCTTCAGGTGAAAGGGATGATGTGGAGAGGGTGAGAAGGGTTTCACCAAAGAGAAAAACATGATTAAGGTGGACACAGAATGAATCTCTGTGATGTATTGGAGGGATCATTCATGTTTCGGTGTGATTAGAGTAAAGCCTATATGTGCTGAAGAGGAGAGATCAGGGAGCGGGTAGGGGGTAGGGAGTGGTTGTTTAAAACATGTTGTTACGTGTTAGCCCATGGAGTTTGTTCTGTACCAGAAAATGGAACTCACTAAAGGTTTTTAAACCAATGATCAAGAGTGACCATAACTGTTTTGGTGGAACAACAGTGGCGTTCATACATTCCTTTGGAATTTGGAGAAAGAACACTTGGTGGCAATGTGAGAAGAGAAAGGACAAGGAAAGGGCTGAGAGTAGGAATACAGATACTGAAACTGTTCAGGTGAGAGACAGAAGCTTAAGCTAAGGAAGTGATGGCAGGTGTGCCAAATTGTCTCCATTTGCTCTTCCAGGTTTACTCTCTCATCTTTTTCCATCCTGCTCTTCACGCGTTAGCCTGTATAAATTGCATCAAATGGGCTCCCTTGCTCTTTGGCTTCTGAGTGGCACTGACAGGAGATGGGTGTGGGAGGACAGAGATAAGAGAGTTCAGTCTTTTCCATGCTAGCTATGGTTTGGTCATTCCACCAAAGGCGACACCTACTGTCATGGGCCCTCTCCTACAGCTCCAGCTTTTGCTGTCTTCGTAACTCCCCCTTTCCATGCCCTCTTAGGCCCAGATGCCCTAGTGGCAACCTGCTATGGTGCGTTAATAGCCTCTTCATAAATCTCTGCCCAATTTATCACATCATGAATGGGCTATGTTTCCTGCTATGACCCTGACCTGTACGGTGGGGATAGAGAGGAGGTGACAGAGATGTGAAAGCTGAGCAGATAGAATTGAGGGATCTCAATAACCAACTAGACATGAAAGGTGATAAGGAAGGAGTGTTACCATGCAGAGGCTTTTGGCTTGGGCTATGAGGAGGACAGGAATGTGATGGGAAGGGAAGGCCATGGGCTGAGTTTGGACATGTCCGGTTTGAAGTGTCTGGGAAATGATGTGGAGATGCCCAGAAAGGCCAGAAATATGAGTCCAGAACTCCAGAGATCAGATCTGAGAATCTTCTCGATAGTGATAGTTGAAGTAATGGACTTTCTGAGGCAGAGAGGGAGAAAAAACCTGGGGACTGAACTTCTGCAGGGTCTCATGGACAGATGAAGGAGGTGAATGAGGGCAATGGGTCCACAGGAGGCTACCACCAGCTAGCTACCAAGGCACCTGAGAGATGGGGAGAAGCCGAGTTCCAAATCACTTCAAGAGCCAAATGTTTCCAATCTTTCCTGCCTTAGTTATCTGGGTCAAATACAGAGGCTTTATTATTTTAAAGTGCTATAGCTTTAAACATGGTCTCATGTGGTCCAAGAGAAAAGCAGGAAGTTTGGGAAAAGGAATAAATGACACCAGGAAATAGACTCATTCATGTGGAAAAACTGTAAAGGGAGCACAATGCTGGTGCTGTGCCATAAATGAACACGAAGGCTAAAGGCGGCAAGCATAATCATGGTTTCAGCTGACATTTGGAATTACCTAGTCTTCTTTGCAAAGTAAAGGGCAGGACACACCACTTCTGAAGTTTATTGCTAACCACAAGGACAGAGAGGGTGCACGGTTTTTCCATTTTTTAGAGGTTGTTACTGATCCTCACTGAGGAATTGAAGAAAGTCATGGATGACTTTTTCAGAAAAATGTATGCTAACATATTCACACACTCACACATAGCATATTTCATACAATTGTAGGGGTTTTAGAAGGGACCTGTCTTGTTAATCCTCTTTACCCCCAATGCCAGATACTCAAGAAATGTATATTAGGCAGTTGAGTACATAAATGAATGACATAGTAGGCTTATGCCAAATCATGGTCAAAATGCAAATATGCAAAATGCAAAATGCAAATATGTTAGGTAGGAGTAGATAAGGTTTTAGCACCCATTGATATGAATTCATTTATCATAGCAGTTTTCAACTCTTGCCGCACATTACAATCTCCTGGGGTGAAGGAAGCTTTAAAAAATATGGATGCCTGGGCTCTACCCCAGAATAGATGGCTGAAATCTAAGGGTGTGGGGCCTGCGTATCAGTACTATTTAAAAGCTCTTCAGATGATTTTAAAGTGCAGACAGGACTGAAATCAATGTCACAGGTTAAAAGCCCTATTTAGTGGAGAGAAAGAATAAGAAGATGTGGGTATGATAACTCAGCTGTTGTGGAGGAAATCAGGAACCATAATAAAAATGGTTATCTATGCTAATTACCTAGCACATGACATATTGCTGTCATATGCACACTTCATTCATCCGCCAAAGATACATTGGTAGTTAAGCCAAGAAGAGATTGGTGATTTTTCTCAGATCAAAACCAGGTCTGTCAATGCAAACAGATATTCTGAGTTGAGTACTGAGTGTTCTTTTCATTTTGCTAAATGACCTCTTGGAGGATAAGGGCAGGGGTTCCCACCCCTGAAGAGTCCAAACTGGTAGATCTGGAGCGGGCTCTGGGAACCTAGCACTTTATAAGCACTGTGGCCGATTTCATTGCAAAGTCAGGATTAGAGCAGCAGCTCAAAACTGGGGGTGGGGTGGAGGACATGTGAACAGAGACGTGAGCCCCATCCCAGATCTGTGCAAACAGAATGCAAGGGTGATGAGGGTGAAAACAAGAAATGCCTGATTTGGATTCCACTCCCACCTCCACTGAGCACCAGCACACATGATTGTCCAGCCAGAGGACTGGGCAGGGACTGGCATCAGGGAGGCAGAAGCAGAGATTAGATACTGAAAGTACATAGGAGGATGCTACAGGCAGGTGGGGAAGACAAAACAAGTTTTGCTCACTTCATGGTTTTGCTCAGGGCTAGTTCTGGTACAGAGTAACTGAAGTCAAAGAGGCACAAAACCAGAGCAGTTTCCAAATCACTTCTGTTTCAATTTTACCTCAGGCCTGAAAGTGCCAGGTGCCCGTCTCTGGCATACTCTGCACGTGAAACAAGTGGGTGAAACCGCCAGCAGGGCAGGCAGGAACCTCTTACAAGGATCCTGGCAGCAGTTCAGCAAGGATGCCTTTATTGGGGTGATAAAGATCAACAGTGGAGGTGACTGTGCTTGGCTCTCAAAAGACAGAATGGGCTAGCAAGCTTGATGCATAGTAGCACTCTCCTCTGAAGGATGTAGTAGATGACTCTTAATTAATCATTCCTCCCGAAAATAGAAAGCCTGTCAATCGACGTTAGCTATGGGCATTCTTTCACCTTGTTCTCACTTTCCTTCTCTTGGGGCTAGAGATTTCTTGGGCCTATTCTGACTTCTTTGGTCATGTATACAGACAGAGACTCCCGTCTGTGATCATGGGATAGTGCTATGAGGCATGATTTTCAGTGTTCAGCACAGAACTCATGGTTACCCAGAAGAACTCTGTTTTGCAGGATTTGGAAGAAGAGAAGTATGGTCCAAAGACTTTAAAGGGATTTTCATAGTAAAACTTTGAAGGTTTATCCTGGTGCACCATGAGCTACTTGGCAAGCATGGGGACAGAGAAAGAAAGAGAGCAATCGAGAGAAGTGTTATGTGTGTGTGCGCGCTCCCGGGTGCATGCACGTGTGCATGCGTGTATGACAGCCAAAGCAGGCTCTCTTCCCCCTCTGTATCTTGGCAGGGTTTCCTTCTCCACAACTGATGTACCCAAAACCTCCAAAGTGACAGATTTGCTGTTGCCCTTTGGATGTGAAGGGACCAGAGGAGGGCAGTGTGAATCTTATTTGCTCTAGCACACATAGTATCTCCATACCAGTGCAAGTGGCTACACCTTTGATAATTCCATCTTTCAGGTCTGATACACTCAGAGAACTTGTAACATTGCTTTATGCCATCTACACTTGAGACAAGTTTACTGACCAATTTCTCACCTGGACTGCCCAGTGGAGAGCTGTTTTAAAGTCTTTATCCACAAGGGTGGGGTCTGCTCCCTTCTTCAGCAGCATTTGAGTGTGTTGAGGCCGGTTGTGGAACGCTGCCCAGTGGAGTGGTGTCATTCCCTACAAAACCAGTAGGAAAGGGAAGAGGTGAACACAGGCTATCAGGAAGGAAAATGGAGCTCATTCTCCCCCAGACCCGAGGGTCATCACCAGATACGTTGGTCACTGCCTGTCAGTTCATTTATTCCTTAAGCCATTCAAATAACAGACATCCATTGAGGTTCTGCTTTGTGCCAGGAAAATAGGTATGGAGAATACTGTAGAGAATTAGATAAACAAGATCCTTGCCCTCATGAGAACTGCAGTGTGGTAGAGGAAGACAGATAACAAATGCAAATGAGCAAAAGGATTTTCCAGATTGTGCGATGCTATAAAGAATGCATTCAGGGTGCTGTGAAAGAGAAATTGTGGGTTTAATCACTGTTCTACATGGGCCTCACTGAGCCGGCTGGGGGAACAGGGCAGCAAGTGCCAAGCCACAGAGGCAACCACTTGTGACTGGGGTCACGCTAAGCTGCCATATCCCACCACGAGGGTCCCCAGTGTCCCCAGCGACTACAACAGAGACTAGATAAATAGCTGTTGAAAGAAAGAATGAATGCAGAGGGAGAGAGTGCCATGTGAGATGAGTCTGGAGAGGAAAGCAGGGCCGATCCTGAGAATGTGGGATGGAGGGATACAAACTCTGAATAAAGCATTTAGATTTTATTCTAAAGTCAATGGAAAGAGAGTGAAGGGTTTTAAGTAGATGTTGACATGATCTAAAGTGTGTGACCTTAAGCTCTGAAAGAAGTTGGGTTTCACCAGAAGGACTCATTCAAGCGGCCACAGCTTTAGGCATCATTCAATAATAAAATGAGCTTATGCTGGGAAACAGTAACCACGAAGACCCAGTATTATTTGGGAGTGTACTATGAAAAGGTGGCCTCTTCTCCTTGCTCACACCTCTCAATTACACAAAATATCTCTAAAATGACTCTAGATTAAGATGTTGGGTAAAGGGGGTAAAGAGTATGGGCAGCTTTAAAGTTGTTTTCATAGTCCTCTCTGCAGATAACATAAAGGTAAGAGTCTAATATTGATCAATCCAATGAGTTGAGTTATGAGTTGTTATGTAGATTATTTGACGGAATCCTCCAGTCTTCTGAACAAGGTACTGTGTTGAAGTCCACTATGAGTTCACCAAACTCTATTTCCTCTTCCTCTAGGGCATACAGGGTACATTTCCTAGCCTCCCAGCAGAGAGATGTGGTCAGAAGACTGACCACATTGTAGACATGAGGGGTGGAAGCCCCTTGCAGGCCTGCCTAGAAAACAAAACCCACATGGTCTTTCACACCTTCTCTCTTTTCCTCATCCAACAAATGAAAGCAGAGAACAAGACTGAAGAAGATGCTGGAACCATGTAATTATGAAGCCTGGGACTCTGACTGATCAAGATAAGGCTACTCCATCAACCAGTATTGGATTATGACTCTAGCAAGATATAAGCTTTTACTGTGTCAGGCCACTGAGATTTTGAATTGATTGCTATAACAGTTGGCCAATTCTGACAGGTGCTGCTGTCCTTCTTTTTATAGAAGAGGAAGCTGAGCTCTAGAGAAACTCCCAAGTCTGTGAGTGAGCACAGAACTGAATCTAGGGTTTGAGGTTTATGAGGCACTGGGATTAGAATGTTAATTCCTTTGACTAGTTCGAAAATTCTAAATCATTATATTATGGTCTGCTTTCAAGTTGGAAGTGTCATATAAGTGAGATATACTCTTGGGGATATTTTAAGAACTTGGTTCTATATGGAAAATAATGCTGATACAACATCTTATTCTGACAGCTGAATATTTACTGGGGATTCAGAATAACTCAATGTATTTCAATAAGTCCTCTTCATTACAAATTTGGCCCATTGGAACTAGAAATCTGGACTCAAGGGAATCAGATTCTTTTAATTATGTATAGATTTCCCCTTCCCAGTGCTGAGTCCCATTTGCTTCAGACTCACTGGCTTCATCATGAAGTGCTACCAGTATCCAGGGTTAAAGACATCAAAGAAAATCTGAAGTCACCGCCGTGTAAACTTCATGAAAGTAGGTTCTTGTTTGCTGTCTGAAGCCGTGGAGCTTAGAACAGTGCCAGGAACACTATAGGTGCTAAGTAAGTAGTTACTAAAAATGAATAACTTCTTAACTATCCTTGATTGAACTTTTTGCTTTTGTAAAATCTAGCTTCACTTTTTTAAAAACCACATAAATTTAAAAAAAGGCAAAACATGACTTCTCCTTTATAGAAAATCAATTTGTTAGATATGGTCATTGCTAGCAACTCTTCAACTGAAACCTGAAAGAAATTTTGATGAGTTCTCCAAATAGGTATATGGCAATACTATATGCCTAGGTATGATTTACTGATATGAGAACTCAGTGTGAAAATATGTTTATGAATTAAATTATGATTATGCACTGCTAATCCTTATCTCCTAAACACAACCACTAAGCTTCAAGAGCTATTTCCTTAAAACAACCCCACCCCCTGCCAAATACAACTTCTGTATGCTTTGGTGAAGTGGTGGGGTGGGGGAGGAGCACTATTATTTTTTGTATACCTACTTCCTGTCAATAAATTTATATACATATATATCATCTCATTGAATATTTATATACTTACACAATCCTAAGTGGCAGGCATTTTTAGGCCCATACAGATAGGGAAACTGAAACACAGGTTAAGTAATTTGCCTAAGGCCAAGGATACATGCCATAGTTGAGATTCAAGTCCAGGTCTCTCCAGCACTGGAGAATAACATTCTTCCCAGACATCATGCTGGTAGGCTTTCATTTTGGAAATGAGCTAAAATGCTGGAGAATTCTTTGTGATTTTAACTAGATTCAGGTCCTCTAACTCTCATGGAATGGTAGTTTTTATCAGTATAAGGGTTGCCATCTTATATTATTATTTGTTTTATTTGGCATTGCCTCTAGGCTTTCACTAAAAACACAGCTGGCAAGTATTTATTTTTGTAAGGCATTGAACTATATATTTCCTCCCACCCCGCACCCTAGAATTTGGGTGATCATGTGTTCCTAAATCAAGACTTGAATCATTCATTCTTTCTTGAAATAATAATTATAAACACACACACACATTATTTATATTACACTAGAGCAGGTTGCAAACCATCAGTCAAGTCAAGGGAACTTTAATGTTGCTGTTTTTTCAATTGGGCTAGTGAGAAATAAAAATAAATCCCCTTAGGGTTAGTAATATGAAAACCAAAACTTTCAAAATCAGCTTCAGTGCAGCCGCTGGTATTGCACAACATACTTTGTTTAGGAAAGTAGACTTTTTTTTTCAAGTGTCTCCTTCTCTTTCCTCCAGCTTCTGTGGAGCCAGAAGGCATCCTAGTTGTGTTATGTTAAGACCAGTGGCCATTTAAGGGGCTGACTTCGGGCTCTGAGACTGGTATCTGCACTGAGTGGTGGCAGGTGTTCAGCTGTGATGCACTTAATGGTAGACGCTGTGACTTATTTGACGTGGTATGTCCACAGCAGTGAGCGCACAGTAAGTGTTCAAGAAATACTCACAGGAAGAATTCGTGAATTACAGGTTATCAGGGCTCCCCTGGACTCATGGAGAGTATAAACTACCACAGTCTGTCCAATGCAGGGCAGCCCTCTGTGTCCAAACTGTGGAGATCTTTTCCACCAGCTTACTCCCTGAAATTTCATTTAGGACTCAATTGGGCCTTTGAAGCATCGAGGGGCTGAAACCCTAAGAGTCATTTGCAGACATGTTGCAACAAACACTCAGATGGCCCTGGTGACAGAACTCCACCTTTTTGGAAAACAAAAAATACTGGTTCAAGACTGAAAAGTAACCCACATTCAGTTAAGACCACAGCTCTCCAGAATGTTTTGAAGGGAAATGTTCAGTTTTAGCTGGCTTAGAATCCATCTCAAGATTGCTGATGGGACTAAGTGTATGTCATAACTGTTGGGTGCCTAGGAAACAGTGGTCTTATTCAGATGAGTAATTCTGTGCCTTGAGTCTGTGTCGCCGAAATTTTGTTTAAGGGCATACAAGTCCCATCAATGTCTCAGAACTCCCCGCCCCACCCCAGCCAAACCACTGTAACTTGTGTGTTCTATGAACCAGAAATCTGGTTAAGTGCTCAGAATGGGAACTTTAGATTGGCTCCAGCAGACGCTGAAAGGCAGAGAGAAATGTGTGATATGGCCAGGTGCTTGCTGCATCCCTCAATTTGGTGCCCTGGAGGATAAAATTATAGCAAGTGCTGAGATGTCAGCAAGAAAATCTTGATCTTCTAAAGGATTTATAATTTCAGAGAAGTCCAGCTTGACTCTCATTGACATTTTAGAATTCACATACTACTATTAATCTCCCAATCACATATGACTACTTCCACAAAAGTTGTCTCCTCTAGACAAAAAATAGGAATACACGATGTGCTTTAAAAGATTTTTTAAAAATAGATGGTTAGAAGTGCAGGAATGAAAGCTATTTTCTTTAATTTTTATTTTGGAAATATTTTACAATCATAGATCAAAAAGATTAACCAATTATTTCATTGTCTTTATTTTAGAGTTTTTCAATCCAGACAAGTTGTGCACATAGTAACAGCCAAAGATTATAACTGAAGACTAAAAATAATTAGATGTTGGATTTTAGGATGGTAAGAATGGCCACTAATGATGAAATACTTTAAAAATGCTCACTCTCTTCCTGTAATAAAGATAAAAACAATGTATCTAACAAAAACAAAAATCTTTAGGGTGGAGATTTTTATAATTTAAATGAGATACTAACACAAGAAAAGCAATATAGATTAACTTAGGCCATGGAAGTAGAAGAGCAAATTTTAACAAGAACAAACTTCTAAACAAAGCCTTTGGAATACAGACCTAAGTTGTATTTATTTTTCAACTAAACAGAACGTCTACATTCTGCATTAAATTGTGAACTATTTGAGCAGGAATCCAGCCTATATGAGACAAGGTAGGTACTTAAATATTTTTTAATGAATAAAATGACTATTTTCCCATTCCAAGTAGATCACCTTGGGAGACCTATAATTATTTCTTTTGTTGATGAAAAGGTTTTGGAAGAAGATCCTTTTTTCGAATTACCACTACAGCAGGGGTTCTAGCCACTGACAGAAAACAAGCTTTGTGTGAGCTTAGATCAGAGAAATAAATTACATCTTTACTGTCACTAACATCAAAGTGAAATTTAGCATCTTCTTTAAATATGAATTTAGGCAACAACACACAGTACTGTTAACAATACCTGTGACTTTGCCAATGATATAAATCATAGATATTCTTGTATTGCATTAATTAGTGCAGATACCTCAAAATATTGTTTGTATGTGTCACTAGTTACTGGTCCTACCACTAAATCTTATTTAATGCATTAGCAAGCAAGCTTGCATATTACCTTTACAAACTTGATCTTTATAATATTTTGGTAATTGTCAAAATACTGGTTTCTTTTGTAATCCTGCGTATTTTATTTTGTTTCAAACATTTTTCTGCAGAGGGATCCATTGGCTTCACCAGCACATCAGAGGTGTCCATGTCATAAAAATGAATGAGGGATCCTGGCCTAGAATCTAGAGTACATTTTTTGAAGATCCCAAATAATATAAAATCTTTTTTTTTTGAGAGATTTTGGCAATAATTAAAAGTCACCTGCAGAGCCAAGTCTGATAAATAAAATGGGTAACTGAGTTGGATCAACAAAACAAAGAGAAAGGGCCAATAATATATACACATATACACAAGTCTATATTTGGAGTGAGGCCTCTACTATGTGCAAGTTACTGAGCTAGAGTATAGGGATCCAAAGATAAAAAAGATATGGTCTGCCTCTAGACATTCATAGGGAAAGGGGAAAGTGAAGGTTCCCTAAGTAGCAGTGACTCTACTCCATTTTTTTAAGGTGTTAATTTTTAGGATAAAAATTCTAGAGCATTAAAAAATTTTTACTTCATAATTTTACCTTTTGCTAACTATAAGGTAAAATGATTTCTAGAGTCAGGCACTGTTTCTATTGATTTTGCCTTTACAGTGCACCGTCTTTACTTACGGTTATCTTAGGGATGCTGTAAGAGAATTTAGTGTTAAGAATTATATCCAAAGGTTCATATCTGTTTTCACAAGTTGGATTTATTTTCTCACAGTACTGTAATAATGAAAGTTTAGTTGTCAGGTCACTCACATAAATCTACTTATATCAGAATTTGCATTCAATATAGGATCAACAATATATCCTAAATACAATAAAAAAAACAGTGCTTCTCTGGGTAAATGTGTTCAAAGTTCTAACCCAGATGCCATTAGTTTATAGCCCCTTTTGATGGGACACTCTTTCTGTCAAAGCTAAAATGCCAGCAAGAGAGGTTAGATTCTAGGAGTTTAGCAACTTCTTAACTCCCTGTAATTGTAATAGACTGCTTCTCTCTATGTCAGTGATTCCTCTGAGGTCCGGAAGAACAAAGGCACAAAGGACAATCTGACCCATTTTGCCTTTCCCACAGTATTAAACTCAGTAGTGTGGATAGCTTGTAAATAAGTCACTTTACAATTAAGCTCTGTAGTCAATGAAACAGGAAAAATAAACAGATCGTTAGAACAGAACAATTAAAAGAAAACATAGCATAATGTAGTTATGTCTTGTGGGGTTAGGGAGGGCCTTCTTTAAAAAGACATCAAAGGCAAAAGCAGTAAGGAACAAGAATGATCACTTTGATTATATCATATTTTAAAATTTCTGTACTAGAAAAGACATCACAAGCAGATCTAAAATGAGCAATGGACTGTGAGAAACTATTTGTAACCCAACAGCAGACAAAGGATTAATGTTCAGAATGGAAAATAAGCTATGAATCCATACAAAAATGACAAAGTAAACCCATAGATGAATGGACAAAAGATCTATATAGGCAAGTCACAAAAGGAAGATATAAAAATGGCCATTATGCTTGTGAAATGGTGCTCAATCTCATTAGCTATCAGGGAAATGCAAATTAAAACAAGAAAACATGACCAGCACACTATTCAACTGCAGGTGAAGCTATAAATTGATATAGCCATCTTAGAGAAGCACCAGGCATGTGTATTAAAAATTAAAATGTACACCCTGGTGCCCAACATTGGTTTTCTAGAGAACTGATTGTATAAAATACTCAAGGAGGCTTGTGTAAGAACACTCTTTAGAGGAGTGTTTGTGATGATGAAAAACTGGAAACAACCTAAATATACATTCATAGGGGAACAGCAAACTAAAGGGAGGTATTTCCATTGTGTGAAACATCATGAACCCATTAAAAGAAATAAGCCAAATCTATATGTATCGACATGAATAGAGCTCTAAGACATACTGTTAGGTGAAAAAACAAAGTTGTAGAGCAACATATGGAGCGTGATACCTTCTACGGTACAGTCCACAGTGTCTGTGAATATATACAAGACATTGGGAAGGAGACGCATCAGTAATTAGCTGGGGGCTAAGGTGGGAGGGTGGAAGTAATTAAGGACTTACTATCATTACTTGTAATATTTACATTTTTTAAAAGCAAATGTGTTCACATATTACTCATACAAGTAAAAACTAATAATGTAAAAACATTGTTTTAAGTCCCTGAGCTCAGATCAGGACAGGTGCTAAAGTGATAATCACTTCCCTGATACAAAGTACTACATCATGTTTTATTTTACTTGAATAGTTATAGGAGACAGGCTTTCTTTCTTCTTTCTCTATTCTGTAGTTTCAATTATATAACCTATCTCTTAACAAAGTTAGATTTCTACTCATTGATCCTCTAATCTTTAATCAATATTGTGATAAGCTTGGGAGTCCTTCAGTTATTCTGGGAATATAATTTATTCAGACTATGTAGAGGTATGCCTTGCTCTTTCCTCTTGTATTAGAAAACCCTAATGCTTCACTAGCAGCATTAACTTACCTTTCCCTCATTTCTTTTGCCTTTGATCTTTTCTCTTTCCTGTTTTTAGCAGACACAGGGTGTGTGCCTATGCCTACACTTTGTTATTCCATCATACATAATGGAAACTGCATTGTGCCTGGAGCTTATTGGCAAAGTGATTGAGGAAGGGGGAGAGCAGGCCATCGCTTGCTCAGAACACTCAGAAGTCATAGGCAGGAAATCTACCAAGGTGGTGAATGAAAAAAACGCCTTGGCTGTGTTCTTTCCATGTCCGAATTATCCTTATTTCCCAGGGGTAAAGGGCTTCTAGCCCCTATACATTTATACTGATTGACTCATACTAGCAATGATATCTACATCATTGTTGTGTGTGTGTGTGTGTGTGTGTGTGTGTGTATTTTAAAAACACAGGCAAGTATTAGCAGTAGGCTTAGGTGGGTTTCAGACGAGCTGTGACATGTCCCCAAGAGGAAGCTGCAACATTGTATGTAAGTGTCCTATTTGAGGTCCTGCTCTCTGCACACAAAAGTCACTGGGCCACAACGCTGGTGTAAGAGTGGGAACAATCTCCTCTGAGAGGCTACTTTGCATGTGAAGGAACTGGAGAGATTTCTAATATTTAGTACATATTATCTGAAAAGTGTAACAATCAGCACTGTTAGATCTGGGTCTACTTTCACTGTCCCCAGCAGCCAGGGGCCTCCCAGGGTGAGGAAGAACAAGGAACTATCACTTTGGTGGAGCATATTCTTTCAGCTGAAGGCTGAACAGAGTTAGAGGTCTATAAGAGGAGTCAAGCTTTCGGGTATAAATGACTAAATTTGTGCCCTTTCTGGGTGAGGGTAGGAGTTGGAGGTGGATGAAGCAGTTGTCAACTTTGCCAAACTCTAAGGAGTTTGTGATCAGTTGACATAAACTGCACCACTAAAGCTCCTTTTTTTCACACTATGGGCAGAGTGGTCAGAGTGTGCGCTCTCATCACTGGTTCTCATTTTTAAAGCAGAAGTTTAAAACAGTGCAATTCTCTCTTTCCTCTCTTTGCTTTAAACCCCTGAAGACATGGAGAGTGAAAGCAGCGTGTGACCACTGAGTCAGGGTGGTGTCCAACCTCAGATTGAGGTTGTGAAGAAGGGGCTTTTTCAGTGTGGTCATTAATGCCAAGCCAGCTGGGAGGAACCAGAAAGCTCAAGAAACACAAGGGGCCCAGCCCTTGTTAGGGGACTTCCTCCCACACTGTTGTCTATGGCTACCTGGCTTCCTTGAAAACACTGTAATCTGGGATTTGGGTGCATATGCATTTTCAATGCTCTCACACTTTGTCAAAGTGACCAGACATTCTTAGAAAAGTGCAGCCAAACCAAGCACATAATTATATATTTAAAAAAAAAAAAAGCTAAAAAACCAGGTATTTAAATCAGTTTAAAGAAGCTTGCTAAAGAAAACAGGCTAGGTAATGAAAATCAGTCCTGCTTTTTAAAAGAGTTAAGTAGCTAGAATAAGATCCTAAGCTACTCTGGGGCAGCTCTGCCTGGTATCTGGTAACACTCCTGCAGGAATTTTGTTTGAGAGTGCTGTATTGTCTTCTTGGAGGCCTTATGTTGTCTCTGCAGCATGGAAGAAACAGCAATTGGGATCACTGGTGTTAATAATGTGGCCTCCGGAGCATGGAGCCTGGAATTATCACCTATCATCTTTCCCTCAAAAGGAGAGCAGTGGCAGTTAACAGCTTGCCCTTGAAGTTTCTGGGACTCAAGAAGACAGGAAAGATCAATAATTTGTTTCTCAATATCCAGAGGGAAATTACAAAATTTCAGTGGTATGATAGACACTTAAGTACTTAATGCAAGAAATTATTCCCTAGTTGAAGCTACCCATACCCAGGGTGGGGATAAATTTCTGCCTGAGGGTCAATAGTAAAGACACAGCTCCCCTGTCAGGATAGGAGCCCCAAAATGTGCTCCATCCCTTTCTGAACCTTTATGATAGGAAGCGCTGGTTGAGAAAAGCCCTTCCTCCTACCCTAACAGGTGCAATGGCCAACCATTCCTTGAAAGGGCAGGCTCACCTCATTGTCCTGGTGATTAATCTCGCTGAGGTTTGACTGTTGCACCAAGACTGTTAGAAGCCTGTGAAGAAAAATAGGAGAAGAGGCTCAAAGGAACAGAATCCGTATGAAAAAAATAACATTAGAAAGATAGTATCTTAAAAAAAAAAAAAGATAGTATCTTGAAGGCCTCCAAATGAAGATGGGCCCTTTCTGTTTATCTAGGGGAAAGAGTCATAGAAAAGAAGACAGTGTGATCCATGAGAAGTCACTTGTCAGGGTTGCTCTATCTCTTCTCCTTCCACCTCCTCTCCATCTCAGTGCCTCGAGTGGGGGTAAGCACAAAGGGAATGGAGAAAGTGTGTCTTTAGGCTCATCTGATTCACCAGATCTGTGTACCTATGCATGCACTTGAAGAACTGAAGTCCTCTAGTACTTATCCTTTATTCTTTCACATAAACGTATACGATGCTTTCGAATTGCTTCACCACTCAGTACACGTGTCACACTTTTTAAATGTATAGCTTATATTAGAAGACAGCATTTACAACTTGGCTTATTTTTTTTTTTGTAAAACATACAAATATCTAAGCATGAAATGACACTCATCAGTGTGAAGCAACTATCAATGATTCTCAAATTCAAGTTCTTTATCTCACTTGGGTCCCACACTTGGTTGACGGAAGTCAACACTGTGGGAGAGAAGTGGTTGAGTGTAGTGGTTAGGAAGCGAGACTGCATGGGTTCACATCCCAGCCTTGCGGCTAAGCAGCTTTGTGACGGAAGGCAAGTACCTTAATCTCTCTGTGCCTACATCTTCTCATCTGTAAAATGGGGGTAGTAAAAGTGCTCACATTATAGCTCAGTATGAGGATTAAAGCGTAACACAGCAAGTGTTATTTCTAGAACACTTAACCCTAGAAGTTTTAACCCTGGCTCCATCCCAGAATGTCCAGGGGAATTTTTTTTTTTAAAACCACAAATACCTGGATCCTATATTCAGTGTTTCTGACTCAGTAGGTCTGGAGAGAAGCTCAGCTTTCACAGTTTAAAAGGGCTGTTCAGGAAATTCTGGTAAACAGGTCTGAAAACCACTGAGATAGGTATTGAATAAATTAACTAGAGGATACTCATTGCTATGAACTAACTTGTGTCCACCCCCTCCAACCTCCAAATTCATATGACTCTGGTCTCCAGAGCTTTAGATTGTGACTATATTTGGAGACTGAGCCTTTAAAGAGGTAATTAAGTTAAAATGAGCCATTAGGGCGAGACCTAACCCAATTTGACTGATGTTCTCAGAAGAAATTAGGGCACACATGAACATACCACAGGCGCAGGCTTCCAGAGGAAAGACCATGTGAAAAGGCAGCAAGATGGTGACCATCTGCAAGACCAGGACTGAAGACTCAGAGGAAACCAATCCTACTGACACCTTGCTTGTGAACTTCTAGCCTCCAGAAATTTGAAAAAATAAATTGTTGTTGCTCAAGCCATCCATCCAGTCTGTGCTATTTTGTTATGGCAGCCCTCACAAACTAATATACTCATCAAGATGATAAAGGATTGTCTATGGGGCGACAGTGAAGGAAATGATTTTTGGGAAGAATTATTTGAAAAAAATGAAATGGCTTAGCCTTTCCCCCAGACAGATCATTGTCTCTCAGCTTAGATGACCTGTAGTCCTGAGTGTTAAACTGCTACCTACGATAGAAGAAAAGAAAGTGGGACAATAGAAGAAAAGAAAGTGGTCATGTGGCATTAGTGGTAATGTAACACAAAGAGAGCTTAACTAAGGAAGCACTTTGGTTATTTGCTGTGGAGGTGAAATAACCAGGAAGCCAAAGGTTTAAATCTAGTTTTATCACTGTCCTTTGGGGAGCCAGGATAATGCTCGGATTTCATTCTGCCCTCACTGCTGTGTGACCTCTCTGAGCTTCTGTATCCTCACATTTCTCATGGGTATAACAGCATGGGGTAACAGGTGGTAAGAACGGAATACCATAGCAGGCGTAAAGCTCCTAGCACACAGACTTGAAAAGAACAGTGGCTCTGAATGCAAGCTTTCTGAATTCTAAAATTCCTCCATCTAGAGGGAGGAGGCTATAAAAATAATTGCACTTTTGGATAACACTGTTTTTATCTTTGTAATTATATTTCACAACTGGATATATTTGCCCTTAGAGTTGTTTTATAAGGCTGGAGTGCAACTGGCAACTGACTTTCTTCTCTCTATCTCTTTACTGGCCACTGTTTAATCTCTAAGGCTCATTTGGTCTGAAATATGGAGGGAGAGTGGGAGGCAAAGGCAAGAGGTCAGCTGTGGTCCAATCTGGTTATCCTCGGCTAGTAGACTGAGATCATATGTAGCCAGACAGCATCTTCTGGGGGCTGCTCCAGGGCAGTGATCACATTGAGGGAAGTCGGGCTCTGACCAGATGGGAATGAGGGAGGAAGAGCAAGACCTCTTGTCACATCCTGGGGATGCCTTCAAATGGTCATGGGATGAATCCTGTATCTGGATATTTATTTTCTTCTCAAATCCATTCACTGCCCTGCAATGTTCTGCTTTGAGGTTGACCCACAATGTCTTTATCATGCAGGCTCCCTTGCCCTCTGATTTCTTTCGGGGTTTGGCCAGGAGGACTGGCAGGAGAAAGGAGGGAAGCCACTTCCTTTTCTGACTATGACTTTTTTCCTTTACCAAAGGCCATGGCTCCTGCAGGTGAATCCTCTTCTATAGCCAGAGCTCTCAACAAGTTCCAATAATAGCTCCCTTCCTTGCCCCTCCAGCCTAGGGGTGGAACGTTTTCCTGTTTTGTTTTTTCTTTTTAAGGGGGGGAGTGGATGTGGGAAATTATTTCACCATCTCTTGTTAATTTTCAATAGTCTTCCATTAATCTTTCTACAGTTATCTTCTATTATTCCATTAGTTCCCTGTTATTACCCTGATTGATATATGCCAATCGATACTCCTTGATTCCCTTTGATCCTTGTGTCTCAGATTTGTCAGTCTCCAAAGATAGACACAAATTTACAGATAAATATGATCTCTCTCTTTTTCTCTTTATTCTCTTTCTTCACGTCACCAAATGACGTGAACCACTATCTTGCTTGCAGGGCCATCATGTATTGCCTTGGTGGTGATCCAGACTGGACTAGAAAGCAGGTGTTTGGATTCTAGGCTGGGACTTCCATGCTGTTCCATGGTACATGACTAACCTGCCAGATGCTTGTTCCCCATCTGTCTTAATTACCAAGGGACTTGCAAACCTCTTAGTTTTGTTTTTTCACAGTCCTTGTTCTGTGCTGAGGTGGCTCAGTAGTATTTCTTCCACAACCTCCAGCTTAGTCTCTTTTTAGCATCAGCTCTGTCCTGTTCTCAGCTCTCTAGGAAGCAGCACAAAGCCTACCTTATCCCAAGTAGCAGGACAGCAGGCACAGATGCCCAGCAGGAGCATTCGCAGACAGGCAGCATGGTGAGTGGTAAGACAACAGATGCTGGGGCCCGACTACCTCCATTAGAATCCCTGCTTCATTACCAACCAGCCAGTAAGCTTAGGCAAGCTAGGAAACTCAGTGCCCCTATTTTCTTATCTTTGAAATAGAAATAATAATAGCAGCTATTTCTTAAAGATCTGTTGTGATTTTAAATGTGTTAATACATACAAAGCAATTAGAATGACATTTACATGTCACAGTAAGTTCTGTATGATTTGATAATTTTTCTTTTAGACAGAGAGCATGGGGGCAGAGGTTGGGAGGGGGAGGAGGAGACAGAAAATCTCAAGCAGGCTCCACACCCAATGCAAAGCCCAATACGGAGCTCAATCTCATGACCCTGAGACCAAAACCAAGAGTAGGATTCTTTTTTTTTAATTTTTAAGATTCTATTTATTTATTCATGAGAGACACAGAGACAGGCAGAGACATAGGCAGAGGGAGAGGCAGGCTCCCCGAGGGGAGCCTGATGTGAAACTTGATTCCAGGACCCTGGGATCCTGATCTGAGCCAAAGGCAGATGCTCAACTGCTGAGCCGCCCAGGTGCCCCAAGAGTCAGACTCTTAACCAACTGAGCTGCCCAGGCATCCCTAATTTAATATTTTTTTTAAAAAAAACTCTTACTCTTTATATTTGGAGATTCCCTGATCTCCATAAGGTGATTAGTAGGCCAGAGAGAGAGAGATCAGCTAGATGTGTGCTGGGGGGTAGGGTGGAGGGGAGTTTGTTTCTGTTGGCTTCTCAGTTTTGCTGGCTCCTTGGGCTCACAGCCTTGGATCTGGCCAGCACAGTGATGGTTGGGGAAAAGGGTCCCTAAGCTAGTTGTCTGCCCTTCTATTCCTGAAGCTGCTGATGTGAGAGTATCCTGTAATACTGTAATATAACATTCATACACAGGTTAGAATACATCACCTGGTAACTAGAGAGCAGAACCTCAAAGAAATAAAATTTCCTTCCCCACTCTGTCATTAAAAGCCATGAAAAGAGGCAGATCCACTGGCACTCTGGTAGGGGGGGAAAAAAAGAATCTGCCAGTAACTATGGAGATTATGAAAAAGATCTGCAGAGAGCCCGGTGGCTGCTTTCAGAGGAAATCGCTGCTTGCCTTCCAATGCTAGCATGTGAAGCATTGTACAAACACAACTTCTTTCTCTTTGGAGCTTCATCGTAATGATCATGTCCCCTCTTTCACACTGGTGCCCCCTGGATGTCCAAGCCAAGGAAGCAAGAAATGCCACGAGGAACTGAAAGGGAGACAACCTAGACCTGCTGAGAAGCTGAGGGTTCAAAGCAGAAAGGGAAACCTGTGCACTTTCCTTTTGTACATCCAACTTGCTTTCCTGTTCATAATAAGAAATCCTTTATTCTTGTATCAGCTTAAGTCCCCACTGAGCTGCAGCTTAGCTTAGGCTGTGTACTGGAACTGGCTAGTTTGTCTGTGAGTTGTTTCCATCACAGAATCTTGCTGGGTGCAAAGGGCTAATTGAGGTGTCCCCTTGGCTTGTTTTTAAGCAGCTACAGTTTGGGGCTTCACTCTTAAAACCCTCCAGTTGAGCCCTGAGTAGAAGGAGCATACTATTCAGAAATACAAGAGTTAGTAGATTTTAAAATGAGTATGAATACCCAAGTACAAGGATACAATGTGGCCTTATAATTAGGGGACAAGTAGAGATTTTTTTGCACTAGCAAGGTAGGGAAGGAAGTTTCAGGGGAACTGAACGTTCGAGTTTGATGTTCATTGGATTCTAAAGTCTAGCAACAGTCTTGTAGGGGCCAATGGCAGGCCACCCCAAGATGGGCTGCTTTGGTATGGAATTATTTTGAGTTAAAAGCAATCAAAACTTAGTAGATTCAGAAAAAGCTTTTTATCTCCCCCTCAACTGCCTGCCTCTACCAGGAAGAGAACTATTAACAGAGATTCCCTTTTACCTAAGAAACTTACCTGCCTAATAGGGTAATCTTTGTTTTCCAAACATCTCCTCTCACCTTCCTTCTAATGGCCTTCCTCCCCTTGGTATTCTCAGACCCCAACCCTTCTCCTTAGCCCAGATAAGCCTCATGTTGCCTTACTATGTCTGGAATTTCCACGTCTGTGTGGGTTCCCAGTACATATGCTACTAAATTTAATATTTTCCTGTGAATTGTCTCCTGTCTCATGTCAATTTGCTGCTTAGACCATCCAGAAGAATCTTGAAGCGTAGAGGAAACTCCTCCTCCCCAACACATCTGTATGGGTGACATATTTTTTCTAGACTTGTGTATGCTAAGGTGAGGAAAGCTGGGGTGAGAGTTGGTGCGGTGGTAGGAGCAGGGATTCATTCTTTAGCACTGATCTGTGGTATTTTTTTTTATTTCTATCTACCTTCCATCATAATCACTACTACTGCCATCATTATCACCAACATTTATTGAACACTGATGATTAGAGGGTTCCATGCTTTTCACATGTTTTCTCATTTACTTCTGCCTATTTATTCTGAGATAAATAACTGTATTATTCATACTTTGTAGAGAATGAAAGCTAGCTGAGCCTTGACAAGTTAATATGGTCATTAAGAGGAAGACCAGACTCAAATCCAGTTGGTCTGACTCCAGAGCTGGCACTCCTGGCCACCCTTTACCTCAATCCAAAAAGAAGTTTCATTAGTTTTCAGGTACATATAGTAAAACAAGGTTACAAGTGAAGAAACCAGGCAAAGAAAACAAGGGCAGGACAAAGAAGATGTGATTATGATCCTTCCTACATGTGTACCAAAGGTGGGACATAATTTGGGCTTTGAGTTTTATACAGAGAGAAAAACGTAATCCTAAGTCACAGTGTTCACACAGTACAAATAAATAATTATCAGGAGCAGCACAGCAATTCCTCCTTTAGGAGAAATATTTTTTTGCTGTTTCTCATTTTTTAGATGCTGTGACGAAGTATTTTCTGACAAGTCCTACTGAGACAGTAAGGAGTTTTGTAAAGGTAGGGCTTAATGACAGAATGTGGCCATTAAAGTACATCCTATAGGGTCCACAACAGTGGATCCTAGGAGCATATCAGGCCCACAGGGCAGGTTACTTATCCTCACACATGCACCAGGGCAATAAGTTATCTTTTTGGTACCTCAGCTTCCTTATCTGTAAAATGGGGATAGAAATACCTATCACATAAACATGTGGTCAAGATTAGATAATACATGGGAAAGCGCTCAGAACTCTGTGTAGAACATGGTAAATTATGTGCTGTGTGTTCTCCTTTTCCTCATCATTGCAAATGCTGCTTATATACTTTGTGGTTAGCCAAACCAGCCTAAAGTTGTATCCATTTAGGAAAATTAAGCAGACAAGTTTTCATGGCCTAATGGAAGGTCACTCCCTCTGCATTATGCCTATCAGGTTAAGAGTACCCACAAGCGAGACGCATATATATATTTATTTCATTTTATTTTATTTTATTTTATTTTATTTTATTTTATTTATTTTTTTAGAAAACTATTACAATTACAATTCCACAAACAAGTGGAATAAAGAAGGCCAACGTTTGTGCCAGAGAGCATGGCTTAACTACTTTCTGCTTAAAACACTGAATGCAGATGCTATCAAACACTGCCATGGCTATAACATTTCTCATAAAACAATGATAAAATATCTAATTTTAAGCAATGTAATTCCATAGGGAATTCTTTAAGGCAAGCTAGTTTCTAAACGTTCTCTAGGTAACAAAGCCAATTGCTTTGCTATATGGGTTGTTGAGGTTTAACACAATTCATTTCTGGAGAACATTTATCAGAAATGATGATTTTGATTTTGGAATACTTAACATTAACCTTTGGGTTTTCCTAGTTACCACAGTTAGTATTATCATAACTCAAGCAGAATATTATCTTCCAGAATCAGCTAAGTGTCCATTTAGGACAATAAAACTATATCATCAGCACATAGAAGGATGTTTATTTTTCTGGCTTCAGCTCTTCCGAAGGTGGTGGCTGGGTCACTAGGTATAATTTCAAGAGAAGGGGAAACTGCAACTCTGTGTTATCTCTGTTATAGTGATGTAATGTAGATCCTAGAGAGTCTAGGGTCACTGCTGGGCGTAATAAGCAATAGATTAATATGTCCACAAAAGAGGAAGTACAATTGGATTGGTTTTCAATTTATTACTGCAGTGATTAGAGATGATGAGCCTAATCAATTGACCAAATTGACCTTGAGTGTGATTTTGACTGACAAAGCTTAGTTTACCCGTCGGGTGCAATGGCATGACAGAGTCAGCTTTCCACCAAAATTCATTACCCCATTTCTTGTATTGGAGCCATTGCCAGGAGATGGATTCTATATTCCCAAGTGCTCCTTATACCCAGGTGTGGCATAGGACCAGTGTGGTAAATGACTAGTTGTTATTAAAAGAATATGATCTAAAGTGAATTATATCAAAGGCTGAGATTTTAAAGAAAAAAGGAGGGCTTCTCCACACTACTATTTCCACATTTCCAGGCTGAACAAAGAGGATTCTGTGATCCTAGAGGATGGTGGAGCCATAAGATGGAAGAAACTTAGATCCCTGAGTTACCATGTGGAGGGGAGCCACCCCCAAACCAGGAACACCTACATTGGACAAAGAATTTCTTGTGTTAAAATATGGAAGCTTTGGGTTTAATTTGTTACAAATGCTATAATCACCACAAGAAAGGCATTTATCTTCTAGAATCAGGCAAATTTTGAAATGACTGCTCAGTGAGGCAAATAAGACCAAATAGAGCCAATCAAGGCAGAACAGTCTTAAAGGTACATTTTAAATATATTTTTAAGAGATTATTCTTGGGAAAACAGTGTTATTTTGTGACTAACTATTTTTGTGGGTTGTCCAGAAAATTCATTCTTTCCTTTTCCCAGTTCATCAAAAGAGAGTCATCCCTTTATGATGTCTATTGATTGTTAGCTCTGAGCCTGCTATTTCTTCTCTAAATTTCCTTGTTTTGTTGGCTTTGAGTAAATCCTAGTTTTTTATTATTCCTGGATATAATCCAATGATAATAAGAGACAATGCTTAGTTGGGAATAGTTCTGGAATTTCCCAGAGCCTTTTAGTGTAAAACAGAGTGAAATGATGAAATCAAGTTACCTCTCAACCTTGGTCTCATGAACCCCCGCAGAGCCTTAGGTTTAGTTTTGGACACAGGGTCTAGAGGATGAGGCTCCCAGAATGCACCCCTGTGGGGCTGGCCTGCGCCTAGCTCTGGGGAATCCTAAATTCCTATCAGAGGCATGTTCTGTGCTACAGAGGTTAAGGAAGTGCCCAGAATGTTGCTGATGCCACAGTGGGAAATGCTGTTATTAGATGCTCCAAGGGGCTTTTGAAAGATGGTAGACTGAGGCCTTTTAGATACAGAATTGGGGAAGCTACACTTAGTCTGGACAAAACTTTTTCCTATATTGCTCAATTGTCTTACAAAAATGTGACCCTCTTGATCATCTAACTTACTTGAATATATTTCTTCATACAGCTCCCCGCAACTCACTGACCTGGTTTTCTTTCTAACTCACTCATTTCCCTGTATCACTCTACTTTGCTGGGTCCCTTGCCTCCTTCCAACCAACAAATATTGGCATGACTTTGGGGCATCTGGGTGCCTCAGTTGGTTAAGCATCCAACTCTTGATTTTGAGGTCATGATCTCAGGGTCCTGGCATAAGCCCTACATCAGGCTCCATACTCAGTGGAGAGTCTCCTTGGGGGTTCTCTCCTTCTCTCTCTGCCTCTTCCTCTGCTCACTCTCTCTAAAATAAATAAATGAATATTAAAAATGAATGTTGGCATGACTCTGACTTCAGAGTCCAGTCAGTGTTCTTCCACTCCCCTCCTCACTATTTGAAATTATCCTATTCATTTTGAGATTATCCTATTTATTTGTTTACTAGTGTGCCACTCAGCTCCTTCACTAGAATGTTAAGCTCTGTGAGGTCAGAGATGCTGTAATGCTTACTGGGAACCCCTAGGGCATACAATAGCAGTTGGTCCATGATAAGCACTCAACATTAATTGAATCAATAAATGCCTGATTAAATGAATGAATATAAGAATTCAGATGATGAAAAATAGGATTTCTTAAATCAGAGATTAGAAGAAAAGGGTTTTATTCAATAGGAGGGGAATGAGAGTAGAGCTTAAGAATCTTCCAGGGTATTTTGATTTACCGCGATGTGGTCCTGTCCACTACAATGTCAATAAAACTGGATGGGTTTTGTTTTTATTCACTGCAGAGGTTGATTAAGTGAGTTTTAATCCAAGTTAAGTCCCTCCCCATGTGAACATTGTGTGAACCTGACTACTTACCTCACATCAGGCTCAGCAGTGGCAGCGTGCAGTGGCAGACGGCCATTTTTATCTGGGATATTGTGCTTGGCACCATTTCTAAGCAGACTCACACAGCCTTCCAGCCAACCCTGAAATACAAGAGCAACTGTGTCATTATATAACACAGCTTGGTATAACATAGACCAACAAGCTTTCTGTAATTTTCTTTCTCTTTCTTCTTTGGTATGGCTAAAAACATATTTTATTTTATTTGAAGTGGCTCAGGATCACAACTCCAATTTAGGCACTTCAACAGAGGACTAATGGTCTTGAGGTGTGGATTCCTGAGTTTCCTAGATTCCCTTGTCTGTCTCCCATTCCCCATTTCTTACTTGCTGTTTTTCACTTTTATACTGAGTTGCTGGGGCTAAATGTGGCACATGGTACCTCTAGCCTTCTCATTCTATGGGCTTAGCTCCAAATCATGCTTGTCAATGGTCTGACACAGGTGCCATGATCCAATTCCAAAAATTGGGCTCCTATGTCATTCTTGAGTTCTAGCTTTTGCTCTGTGCCTCAGTTTATCTATATCTGATAAACAAGCTTTGGTCCACTTTTCCAAGTTCCCTTTCTATTAACCACAAGGATAATATTTTGCTTATTCTAGTATGTCTTTTCCCAATGTCTAGAATCCTAACCTGAGCCCTACTTCAATGGCTGGGACCATGCCATCTTGTTGACCAATTTTTCTGATGCTGAATATGGGGGTATCACCAGGATCCTTTAAGGGTTCCCTATTGCTGTGTGTCACTCACTATGAATTTCTCAAGAAACTTTATGTGAACTCTCTTCTGTCCACTAATTCTCCAGATTGAGAATAGTATTACTGCACCTCATGCTTGTCTCATTTCAAAGAGCAGATAAAATGGCAGGCTAGTTCTCACTCTCTTTCTTTTCTATACTACCTTAATGGACTCAACCCTACTGATAACCAACTTGGCCAAGAAGTATGCCTCCTACGTTCATCTAGAGCCATTGGAGTTACTTATTCAATTGTAAGTAGACATATTAAGTAGATGAGGCTATTATTATGAAGAATAATATATTATCTCTCTCTCCTGCCATTCTCCATTCCTATATAGTTAAACATCAAGACTACACAGTCAGATGAAAAAAATTACTGATTTTCCCTCACAATACCGGAAACAATGAAAGTGTTACTAAATTAATGGAGAAGAGAGATAATAAGAAAAGAAACTTATGGTTCTGGAAAGTCTGGAAAACAAATCTTTCAGTAAAAGCACATTCTCATAGGTTCTAATATTGAATATTGTTTTAAATTGGCTAATAATATCTAAGTCTTAAATAGAAGCAAATGTTTTTCAGCCTTGAGTTACAGTTCACTAATGTATTAAATCTGGTTTTAGTTTCTAAGGTCCAAGTCATCAAGATCTCTGATTAAAAGGAAAAAATATGACCCGGAGACCCACAAGAAAGGCATGCTGGACAAATTTGAGAGTTGCCTAAGTTTTACAGTTTTTGAAAAACAGATCTTCTGATGGGGGAGGGTTTGAAACATTTTAATCATTTTGCAACATTTCCTGGAACTATGTGTATGTGGTTTTCTTTTTTTCTTCAGAAATCAGAAAATCACTGAATACAATTGAAACCAATGGTCACTGTTCAGAACCAACAAGTACATTTTTTACTCACTGTGTGCTGGGTAGTTCCACATGTGTTTCTCTTTCTCTTGTGATAAATGTGGGATATTATTTTTACTACATTTTACAAATGAGGAAGGAGGTACAAAGAAGTGAAATGATTTGCCTAAGCTTACACATCCACGGTAAGTATATTTGTATACTAAGTTTGGAGCTGTGACAATTTCTAAGTGCCCTTTTTGCTAAGTTTCTCTTTAATACTTGAATTCAAATGCTGCTAGAAGGGAGTGGTGGGCTCCATGGTGCAATCCTCAGGACCAACCCTCACCCTTCCCAGGGAGCCACAGAAGAAACAGGGTGGGGTCCTTCCTTGGGTTACCACAAAGAAGAGGGGGCATCATTAAGAGAGTGATACTACATCCTGAAGTGCAGGCATACTTCCCTCAGGTAGCTCCTTAGAAAGAGTTGTCGGCAAAGGTGGCACCTCTCTCTTTAGGCTCACTACAGATCTAGGCAATCTACAGGATACCTCTTCTCAGTCCTGAAACTTCAGAATTTTGAATGAAGTGCAGCTTGGTTTCAGTCTATTCCCTACACAAGTAGCAGTCAGTTTTAGAAACCATCACTATTCTCTTCCTCCATGCTTGATCCAAAATTTGTCTTTCCTCAGCTCGGATACCAGGAAAACAACAAACAAATAAAATCCATAGCAGGAGCAGTTATTAGGGCATGCTGGGCTATTGGGAAAGGGGCTGAAAGGGCATTCCTGTGTCTCTCTGAGATATGAGACTCCATCTAATACTCATAGGCCAGTGGTTTTCAAACTTGATTGGGTATAAAAATACCCAGGGAGCTTTGTTTAACATGCAGACACCTCCTTCCCACCCTCTACCCATGTCTGCTCACGGTGTCTGACTCAGGAAGTCTAGGGTGTACTCCTGGAAAGTGTATTTGAAACAAGTATTGCAATACTTTGAAAAATTCTTCCCAGTTTCATGTCTAAGTCCTGGAGAAAGGGGACATGCAAATAGAAAAAGAAAAAGTAGTTTCTAAAGAAAGTCTCTGTAAGAATTAGGCAATGCCTCAATGTAATCTATGCTACATCATGGCAGGAAGGTGTGGCGTGTGGGGAAAGGACATGTGCCTACTTCAGCAGGGCAGCTGCAGGACACAGTGGGGCTTGCCCAGGGCAAACCCACCACTGTCAATGGGAAGCAATAGCAAATCCAAGAATCTGCTTTGGTAGCAACAATAGTTATGGCAAGGGTTTCGAGGAGCCTCACTGGAGGTGAAGGAGAATGATGATCCATGTGTGGTGCTAAGAACTTGCTTGCCCTAGATTTAATGTAGCCATGGAGTTCCCTAGAAGGATTGCATGGAGGATCTGAAAAGAGAGGGGCTTGAAGATTTCCAGCAAGGATTACCAAGCTTGCTCTAATGTTGGGAAATGCTGAACTGAAATCTCTTGATGAAGACACACTCTATACAATTTTCATAGTGAGTACTGATTGTAGATTGAGTCCTATGCTTGGTATTGCCCCTTAATAGTCTGATATTTCTCCCCTACTGCCACCCCTCACTTTTCCCAGCTCTCAATATCCCCATATTCTCCAGCTACCACTCAACTCATCTTACTCTGCAATGTTACTTCAGCTTCAAGGGCCACCACTCACTCTGCGTATTAGCAGACTGCATTTTTAGAAGTAGTACCAAGTATGTCCAGAAATGCCCCAAGGCAAATTCTGATGCAATCAAGATGGAAAATAATAATATATCTGTAATGGCAATGTCACCTCTATCTTGAAGGATTGTTAGGAAGATCCAAAATGACTGAGATCCACAAAACCAAATCTTTGTAGTGCTGTAATTGTCAGAAATGATTGGAGCAAAACTTCAACTTCTACTTCCGCTGGCTAGGTGCATAAATCCAAGAATACTTTTCTGCAAAGGGGGACCCCATAACAACACATTCTGCCCTCCCCACTCCTTGACCGCCACAGAAACATTGTGGGTACCAGATAGGTTGCCAGGCATAGACTCGTGCGACCATAAGCATCCTGCATGTTAATATTGGCACCCATCTTCAACAACAGCTTCACTGTGTCCACTTGACGTCCAGAAACTGCATGCATCAAGGGTGTACATCCTGGAATGAGATATTTCATCAGCTTTTAATATTTGATTTGTGAAATTTATGGGCAAACTTTATTTACCTGTTCACTTATTATGCTCTTTATAGATAAATGAGCTGTCCTCAACACAAACCCAGCTGTTGAGCTACAAGGGACTCAGGAGAAATGAAAATCATTGTTGCTACATTTATAAAAACTATGTATTTTTTTTTCTGGCTCTATTAAATCTTCCATAATTTTGCAGTAATTGGTTGATTAAAACATTTTGTACCAATGATTAAAAAAATTCCTCTTTACTACCTTGAGAATCAGCACAATTTGGGACATAACAGGCAGTTTTATCCTGGCTTGGCCTGAACAATGTAGAATCTGGAAGTGTCTAGAAAGCAACTCCAGCCAGGCAGACAGGTCCAACAGACTTTTATTAGAGGTGGTGGATGATAAAGGGCAGTGATGGCAGTCTAGCTTTGGCTTGTACACATTCTTGAGAAAAGGGTCTACCTTTGTTGAAATACTTCTGTTTTGGTTATTAATATAGGCCAAAGCATTTGGCTCCTCATGTGTTTTCTTTATGAATAAAAACGGAGCTGAAATTACACATTCTAAATTTATTTTTTTTATTTATTTATGATAGTCACAGAGAGAGAAAGAGAGAGAGGCAGAGATACAGGCAGAAGCAGGCTCCATGCACAGGGAGCCCGACGTGGGATTCGATCCCGGGTCTCCAGGATCGCGCCCTGGGCCAAAGGCAGGCGCCAGACCGCTGCGCCACCCAGGGATCCCTGAAATTACACATTCTGATTAACTCGTAGGCCTGCCTGAAGAGACAGGATCCAGGGGCTTCCCACTCCTTCAGGTGAAGAAACCAAATCTCACACACAGTCCCTTGCCAAGCTGAGACTTGTTTACGTGTCTTATCATTGGTGGTTCCACCTTCTTCCAGTGAACTGCAAGCTAGGACCCTAGGAGATCCCTGAAAATGGACAAATGGCAAGACTGCTGTTTTCCCCAAAAGACTGCGCTGGTAATCCAGTTTATCTGCAAATCACCCCCTTCTAATGCTCTTTGAGTAAAAGCAGCAGTGAAGCTTTTGTCTTAAAAAGTTGTGACAGTTCCTTCTTTATTTCTTCCTCTCTCCTTTTTCCCCCTTTCCTCCCTCTCTCCCAACCCATCTCCTTCCCTCTCTCTCTCTCTCTCTCTTTTTTTGGTTTGCCAGTGTTGAATTGCTCTAGCACCATTTGTTGAAGAGGCTTTCTTCCACTCTGAATTACATCTACACTGTTGTCAGTAATCAGTTGAGTATATTTGTATGAGTTTATTTCTGATTTTTTCTTCTTTTCCATTAATCTATGTGTGTATCCCTCAGCCATTACCACATAGTCTTGATTCCTTAGCTATACAATAAGTCTTGAAATTTGGCAGACTGATTTCTCCTGCTTTATTCTTTTTTTTTAAAAAACATGTTTATTTTAATTCCAGCTAGTTAAGATACGGTGTGATATTAGATGCAGATGTATAGTATAGTGATCCAACACTTCACTTGGTGCCCATCACAATCAGTGCATCCTTAATCATCATCACCTTTTTAACCCATCCCCCCACCCAGCTCTCCTCTGGTAACCATCAGTGTATTCTCTGTATTTAAGAGTCTGTTTCTTGATTTGTCTCTCTTTCCCCCCCTTTGCTCATTTCTTTTGTTTCTTAAATTCCACATATGAGTGAAATCATATGGTATTTGTCTTTCTCTAACTGACTTATTTCACTTAGCATTATATTCTCTAGCTCTGTCCATGTTGTTGCAAATGGCAAGATTTCATTCTTTTTTACAGCTGAATAATATTCATATATATATATACATATAATATATAGAGAGATGAATGGGTAGAGAAGATGTGATATATATATGTGTGTATATATATATATATATATATATATATATATAGTATTAGGCTGAGTGAAGTAAGTCAATTGGAGAAGGACAATCATCATATGGTTTCACTCATATGGGGAATATAAGTAATAGTGAAAGGGATTATAAGGGAAAGGAGGGAAAATGAGTGGGAAAAATTAGAGAGGCTGGCAAAACATGAGAGATTCCTAACTCTGGGAAATGAACAAAGGGTAGTGGAAGGGGAGGCGGGTAGGGGGATGGGGTAACCGGGTGACGGGCACTGAAGAGGGCACTTGATGGGATGAGCACTGGGTGTTATATGTTAGCAAATCAAAATTCAATAATAAAAAATATATTATGTATATATATATACATATATATGTGTACACACACACACACACATCTTCTCTATCCATTCATCTATTGATGGAAACTTGGGCTGCTTCCATATCTTGGCTACTGTAATAATGTTGCTATAAACATAGGGGCATGTATTCCTTTGAATTAGTGTTTTTGCATTTTTGCAGATCATAGGGTAGTTCTAATTTTAACTTTTTTGAGGGACAAATGAACCGAAAAAGGCCTAGAATGAACCAACCTCCATACTTTGCTTCATAGGGGCTGCATCACTTTGCATTTCTACCAACAGTACATGAGAGTCCTTTTTCTCCACATCCTCACCAATATCTGTTGTATCTTCTCTTGTTGATTTTAGCCATTCTGAAAGGTGTGAGGTGATATTGCATTGTAGTTTTGGTTTGTATTTCCCTGATGATAAGCGAAGATGAACAGCTTTTCATGTGTCAGTTGGCCATGTCTAAGTCTTCTTTGGAGAAATGTCTGTTCATGTCTTCTTCTCATTTTTAAATTGGATTATTTGTTTTTTAGGTGCTGAGTTTTATAAGTTCTTTATATATTTTGTATACTAACCCTTTATCAGATATGTCATTTGCAAATATCTTTCCCATTCATAGGCTTCCTTTCAGTTTTGTTGATTCACTCTGCAAAAGTTTTTATTTTGATATGGTCCTAATAGTTTATTTTTGCTTTTGTTTCCCTTGTCAAAGGAGACCTACCTAGGAAAAAGTTGCTACAGCCAATGTCAAAAAGGTTATTGCCTATCTTCAACAATTTACATTTTGGTTTTTAATCCATTTTGAATATATTTTTGTGTATGGTATAAGAAAGTGACCCAGCTTCTTTCTTTTGCGTGTTGCTATCTAGTGTTTCCAACACCATTTGGTTTTTTGTTTTTAAAAGAATTTATTTATTTATTCATGAGAGACACACAGAGAGAGGCAGAAACATAGGAAGAGAGAGGAGAAGCAGGCTCCATGCAGGAAACCTGATGTGGGACTATCCCGGGACCCCGGGATCATGCCCTGAGCCAAAGGCAGACGCTCAACTGCTGAGCCATCCAGGCATTCCTCCAATACCATTTGTTGAAGAGACTATCCCTTTCCCATTGGATATTCTTTCCTGCTTTGTCGAAGATTAACTGACCACATAGTTGTGGGTCCATTTCTGGATTTTCTATTCTGTTCTGTTGAGATATATGTCTATTTTTGTGCCAGTACCAGACTATTTTGATGACTATAGCTTTGTAATATAACTTGAAGTCAAGAATTATGATGCCTCCAGCTTTGTTTTTTCGTTTTCCAGATTGCTTTGGCTATTCAGGGTCTTTTGTGGTTCCATATAAATTTTAGAATTATTTGTTCTAGTTCTGTGAAAAATGCTGTTGCTATTTTGATAAGGATTGCATTAAATGTGTAGACTGTTTTGGGTAGTGTGAACATTTAAACAATATTTTTTCTTCCCATCCATGAGCATGGAATGGCTTTCCATTTCTATGTGTCATCTTCAATTTCTTTCATCAGTGTTTAATGGTTTTCAGACCACAGGTCTTTTACTTCTTTGGTTAGGTTTATTCCTAGGTATCTCATTGTTTTTGGTACAATTGTAAATGGGACTGCTACCTTAATTCCTCTTTCTGGGTGTTTCATTATTGGTGTAGAGAAATGCACCAGATTTCTGTCCATTGATTTTGTACTCTGCAACTTTACTGAATTCATGTAACAGTTTTAACAGTTTTTTTGGTGGAGTCTTTGGTAGAGCTTTCTATATATACTATGATGTCATCTGCAAATAGGGAACATTTTTACTTCTTCCTTACTGATTTGGATAACCTACATTCCTTTTTCTCATATGATTGCTGTAGCTGAGACTTTTAGTACTGTGTGCAAGAGAAGTGGCGAGAATGGACATACTTGTCTTATTTCTGACCTTAGAGGAAAAACTCAGCTTTTCCCCATTGAGGATGATGTTTAGGATTTCCCATAGATGGCCTTTATTATGTTGAGGTATGTTCCCTCTAAACCTACTTTTTTGAGGATTTTTATCATGAATGGGACTTTGTCAAATGCTTTTTTTGCATCTAATGAAATGATCATATGGTTCTTATACTTTCTTTTATTGACGTGAAGTATCACATTGATTGATTTATGAATATTGAACCACCCTTGCAACCCAGGAGTAAATCCACTTAATTGTGGATGATTTTTTAAAATATTGTTGAATTTGGTTTACTAGTATTTTTTTTTTTAAGATTTTACTTATCCATGAGAGACACAGAGTGAGAGGCAGAGACACAGGCAGAGGAAGGAACAGGCTCCCCACAGGGAGCCCATCTGGGACTCAATCCCAGGACTCCAGGATCACGCACTGAGCTGAAGGCAGAAACACTCAACCACTGAGCCACCCAGGTCCCCTTGGTTTACTAGTATTTTACTGAGGATTTTTTCATCTATGTTTATCAGGGATTTTGGCCTGTAGTTCTCTTTTTTAGTGGTGTCTTTATCAGGTTTTGGTATCAGGATAATGCTGGCTTCATAGAATGAATTTGGAAGTTTTCCTTCCTTTTCTAGTTTTTGGAATAGTTTGAGGAGAATAGGTATTTTTTATTTTATTTTGTTATAAATTTATTTTTTATTGGTGTTTAATTTGCCAACATATAGAATAATACTCAGTGTTCATCTCATCACGTGCCCCCCTCAGTGCCCGTCACCCAGTCACCCCACCCCTCACCCACCTCCCCTTCCACCACCCCTAGTTCGTTTCCTA